GCATGCGCGAGGTGCAGCCCCCCCAGCCCCCAGAACCATGTCCCTTCCCACCGGGAGGGTCCAGGGCCGACCCACCCCTGCCAGGGCCTGGGGTGCGCCTGGGAACAGGGTGCAGGGGCTGTGGTGTGTGGGGTGGCGGGAGCACAGAAAACAGTGAGCTGTATCGGGGTACACGGGGCGGGCGTGCACAGGGATCCGGGGGAGGGGGACGGTGCATCAGCATGTATGGGAAGCGGGGTGCTGGTGTATTGGGGTACACAAAGATGGGCGTGCACGGGGGGGGTGTGGTGTGGTGTATCGGGGTGCAGGGTGCTGGGGTGCAGCAGAATCTGTGGTGTCCAGGGAATGCGGTGTAGAGGTTACCCGGGGGCGCAGTGAACAGTAGTGCAGGGGAAGGGAGGCACAGTGTGCTGGGATGCACAGGTACTGGGGTGCACAGTGCGTTGGGGTACAGGGGTTGCCTGGGGACTAGGCGCAGGGTATTATCAGGGTGCACGGGGGGCCCTGGGGCTGCTTCTGGAGAAACACACACATTTGGGTCAAAAAGAGAGAATTTCTGCCCATCAAGACCCTTTGGCAGGCGAGTAATGGGGCTGGGGGGGAGACGGGGGGTCAAGCCCAGCTAAACCCGGTTCTTCCAAGTCCCCCTTGGTGTGGCGACGGACTGAGTGGTGCTGAGCCCCCAGAAAAACCCAAACCAGCGTTTGCCCAAACAGCTCCTTTAATAAGGAAAAACCCGATGGCTGCCGGGGGATGAGAGGCACCAGGAACAGCCCGTTCACACCAGAACCCAGCAGCTGCCCCGCCCCGCAGAGAGAAAATGCAGCACAAAAATAGATCTTCTCACACCAAAACATGGGGGGTTCCCCGCCTCCGCTGCAGGTCTCACAGCTTTTATCGAAAAAGGGGTTTTGGCACTTTACGACTCACAGAGACCTTCAGCATTGGGGGTTTATGGATTTTTATGTCCCTTTTAATAGTTTTTTTTCAAACTCTACGCTTCCAGCGCCCCCGTTTGCCAGAATTTCCAAGAGATTCTCCTCTCCCATTTATAAAAAGGGGTTTTGGCAAATACTGAACAACTCTGCTTTGAAACAAACCCAAGTAGTTTTTTTTCCCCCCAAAAGCCCACGGGTTTCTAGAGCCCCAGGGGCTGCAGCCACGGGTCAGTCCGTCTGGCTCCCAAAACCCACGGTTCTGAGCCCAAAACAAGCAGTGACCCCTCCCTGGGCAGGGAGCAGAAGGGCAGAGCCGGGCCTGGGCTGGAGGCACCTGCCAGGGCAGAGCTCGCATGGCTGCCGGGGGGGTCTTGGGGGGACAGCAATATAGAATAACAAAAGAATGAAAAAATTTAAAAATAAAATAAAAAATGCAAGCCAAAAATAAAATAAAAGCTACCAAACCAGAAAAAAAAAAAAAAAAAACAACAACAAAAAACAGACCAGCAAAAACCACCCAAACCCCCAAAACCACCTAAAAGGAAAACACAAAAACCCCGAAACCATCAAAAACCCCAAATCACCAAAACCATGAAAAATACAACACAAAACCCTAAAACCACAAAAAAAACCACCCCAAAATACAAAAAAGCCCACCCACCCCCACCGCGGGGGGTGGTGCCAGTGACTTGCAGAAAAAACTAACTCTACAACTGTGAAGTTGTAAAGTAGGTATGTTTATTCAGCGCCGGGCGCATGGGGGATCGATCCTCCACAAGCATGCGCACCCCTTGCAGCTCTCATCCTGCTTATATATTACAAAATAATGCATATTCATAGAATGCTTATACATAAACATAATATTTCCCCGCCTCCCCTTGCTTCTCATGGTAATCAGGTCTCCTCCTCTTGCGTCTGGGCGTTGAGCTCCTTTGGTGGTCGCAAATTCCTGGGTGGGAGTCATATAGATGAAGTATCTCCTCTTCCTCACTGCTGAACTTTTTACCTTGTCCTTCTGCGCAGCCTCAGTTGTTCCCTGGCTCCTAGCTAAACCGCAAGACCAGTTTGTACTAGGATTTAAGGTGATCTATTGCTGATTTGTACTACTTCAAGGACAATAGGAAGCTTCTGTTTGAGCCAGAAGATAATATTTTAGCAACACTGTCAGCACCTGGTATGTCTTCACGCATAGCCCCTCATCTTGGCGCAAACTCCTCAGTCCTGCGCCATCTAACTAAAATAGTTTAAATTCCCTATCTCACCGGCAGTTGCCGGGATGGATCCACTGCAGGTGGATCCCACCTCGCCTGAGAGCCAACACCTGCACCCAGCGCTGGCGAGGTGACCAAGTCAGGACGGGTCGGGGTCAGATCCCGTCTGTCGTGCCAGTGATGGGAGTGGGTTAGGTCTGGCGTCAGCACAGGGCACAGGTGACAGTGAGGGTCTCAGCTCCAGCCGTTGGGACCGGACCAGTAGGTGTGCCCTGGGTGCAGCTACTGGAGGAACTGGGATGAGTAAAGCGAGCAAGCTGCAGGACCAGCACGCGGAACAGGACTGCAGGGCCCAGCCCGTGCGCCTGGTGCTGCCTGTGGGGAGCCAGAGTGACTGCATCTCCCGCAGACACCAGGGGGCAGTGCTGGGGGTGTCACGTTTTAATAAACTTCAAGGGGGGGCAGCTGGTAAGCTACCTCACATCCTATGGCCCTGCAGCTCTCCAGGAGGAGCCTGTTGGCCTCTTCCCTGGGCCTCACCACCACGTCTGGGAAGGCACCAGCCTGGCTGTAGCCTTGGCAGCCGAGCAGCTCCTGCTTTAGCCACTGCTGGCCCAGCCTGGCTCACCCTCGCTGTCCCGCTGCCTGGGTGTGCCGGCACAGGGCTCAGGCAGGGGCTCGTGTCCCGGCTCTGGGCCTTCTCTGCGTGCGCAGCAGCAGCTCTCGGGGCTGAGGCGGGAAATTGCCTTGTGCCTCTCCTGAGCTACTGCCTCCAGGAGCAGCGTCACCTGGGCTGGTTGCTGCCAGATGGACACCAGCTGCTCTGTCCTTCCCTCCTGCACACGATGGGGACAAAACGTGGTGGGAAAGCCAGGGAGGAGCCTGTGACCAGGCAGCGCCCAGCTGCACGGGCAGCCCCGGCCGTCCAGTCACCCCCCCAGCACTGGGCCCCCACTGTACCCTCCTCTTCCAGGGAGGAAGAGAAGCAATGAGATGCTGAGGAAGTTTTATTACGGCGGGAAATGAGATGTGTGCACTGGCACGATCTGTGCACCCGCTGAGTTACTAGTTATTTCAAGGCTTTGAGCAAGGGGGGCCTGGCAGCAGGTCACAGTCTGTGTCTGTGTGTGCCCCTGGGCACAAACAGCTCACGGGATGCTCATGGGGTGGGGCAGGGGCTCCCCACCCCTGCTTGATGGAAATGATGGGTTCCCCCCCAAAGGCAGGGCCCGGCTGCTGGGCCGGTGCTGGGCCACAGGGCTCCATGCGCTCCCCAGCCCCGGCCTGGCCAAGGCACCCGAGGAGCTCCCCGCCCCAGCCCCGGGAGCCCCCAGGAGCTGTCCCCAGGGCTGCTGGTGTCCCCACCCCTGCCGGCAGGCTGGGCAGGGGCCATGTCAGCAGACATCCTCCCCCCAGGGCTCTTCTTGTGCCCCCCCTTTGGAGACAAATCCACGCTGAGCTGAACAGCCACAGCTTTTATTTATTTCTCCCCTCTTTTGTTTTGATCCTTCATTCTTCTCTGGTGTGTTGTGGTTTGAACTCAAGCCAGCAGCCAATCGCCACATGGCTAGTCGTTTACTTCCACCCCCCCAGCCCGGTGAAATAGGAGAGGGACAAAAGAAGAAATTCACAGTATTAGTAAATTTTTTTATTCAACCTAACAGAACCAGCAGTAACGACAGCAAGTCCAGAACAAGTGAAGGTGGTCACCGAGCGGTGGCCGGTCCGGGCCTGTCCCGGCAGCGACTTGACCATACCAGAGAATCCGCCACGACCCGGGAACTGAAACGGGGCGTGGGGCAGCAGCGTCCGCCTGGACATGGAGCTTGATGTGACCCGATGTGGAATGCTCCAACCCAGCCCTGCCATCAGCCGTGCTCTCCTCAGCCACGGAGAGGGAATTCCAGCCTGGCCCAGAGCAGGACAGGGCTCAGCTGCCTCCTTCTCTTGCCCTCAGCCCGTGCACCCGCACTCGGTAAATGCAGGTGAACTCGGGGTTGCCCCAGTTGCTCTTCACGAGGAATTTGACACATGAAAAAGCTCTGGGAAACGGTGCGGTCTGTGAAGACAAGAGGGAAAGGGAAGCAGAGGTGTTAAGAGCGACAGTGCAGTCAGTCCCTCCCTGCCAGCCCTGCTCCTGCTCAGGAACCAGCTCCCAGAGGTGGGTGGGAGCACCTGTTGCCATCAGGGCTGCTGGGGAGGCCGGGGCAAAGGACGGGGAAGGCTCCTGGCCTCCTCTGCGTGTTGGCCCGGCTGGGGCTGTGTCCCACTTCCCCCTGCCCCTTGCTCTGCACCGACAGAGAGGCTGGTGAGGGGCTCCTGTGCGTGGGGCACCTGGTGTGCAGCTCCCCAGGCTCCACTGCCCGCTCCGCCCGCCCTCCTCCTGGCAGGGGGAGCCCTGCAGAGAAGGGTCTGCTCTGCTGCGAGGAGAGGGCCCTGTCCAGCTGCCAGCGGGCCACAGGATGCAGCGGCGGTGCTGCCCGGCAGCTCTGGCCACCGGCCATCCCTGTTTCTCCAGGGCACACAGGCGCCATTCGGTGGAGGGGACATGTGTGCAGCTGGCCCTGCTGAGGGCACTGCCTGCAGCCAGGGCTCTCTCAGGACTCGTGCTCCCACAGCGTGACGCTGCCCTTGCTCTCCCTTGCTGGAACCACTGCCTGCTTCTCAGCCCTGCCAGCGCTCTCTGGGCTGGGGCCCGGGGCCCTGTACCCAGGGAGGAAGCGTTCACACCCCCTGCCATGGGCTCCCAGCCAAGCCTGGTTTCCTCCCCAGCATCCTCCCCTGCACGTGAAGCGTACCTTCAGAGGGAATGTCTGAATGGCCTCTTTGGTCACGTTGTAGGTGAACGTCAGGAGCAGCACTTCCTCCTCTCCATCCACGTCCAGTCCCTTGGGGCCAAAGCATAAGGAGAGCAGTTCAGACTTGGCCCCACAGAGGGAACATGCGCACTGGCTCAGCCCAGGCAGGTACCGGCCGGCGTCGCCCGGGCTCTAGCAGCTGTCTGACACTGCCTGGAGCAGAGCTCAGTCTCCTCGGGGTCAAGAACCAGGAGACCTTTGGCCAGAATACGTCCTGAGAGGGATGAAACCTCTGGAGCCCTTGAAGCATCCCCCCAGGGCAGCGCGGTGCTCAGCAGAGAGCAGGACACAAACCCCAGGGGGTGCACAAAAGGCAGCAGGTAAGTCCTTGTCACGGCTTTCCCCCAGGGCCAGACCCCACCAGACGCGCCCAGCAGAGACTTACAAAGACAGCGACGTCTCTGGGGGCGCTGATGACAGTCCCAGACGGAGACACCTCTTTGTAGATGTGCTGCATGGTGACAGCAGTCAGATGGACTAGTGCTGTCAACCTGATGACGACCTGGCCCTGGTTCCCTTGGAGAGGCCAGCAGTTCCCTGGGGACATATCCGGCTGCAGCCAGAACGAGAGAGTAGTGAGGAGTGAGAGTGCGTTGGGGACAACACAGCTCGTGCCACTTGGAGCACGGGACCAGTGTGTCTAGGGGGGCTACTGCAGCTTGGAAATGAGGCGCCTGTGAGGAGCAGACAGAAGCAGGAGGCCGCCTTTGCTGCCTGACAGAGGGGGTTCTCAGTGTTATGGAAAAGAGGAGAACACCAGGTTATGAAACCACCCTAGTCAGGGCCTTACAGAAACAACTCTCTGCCCAGCAGCTCTGCAGGGCACCCCCCCACCCCTAAAAAGGCACCGTTAGGGACAAATGTGGAAAGGGGGTCACCAGGGATAAAGTCTTTCACTCAGCTGGGACAGAGGCCTGTGGGCAAGGTGCAGCAGTTCCGCTCAGTTCAGCCCTGTTCCCTCCTGAGGGGAACCGCTGATCTCCAGCAGGCCCAGCCCTGTGTCCGAGCTTTGGTTTCAGGAACCTGATCAGCACTGTGGGCTGGATCGGCACTGCCCTGGACCGAGGGGAGAGCCCTGAGGTCGGTCCCAGCTTCACAGGAAGGAAGGAAACCAGCACTGGTGAGTTCTGCTACAGTACCTCCAAAATAGCATCAGGTTTGGTCAGAAAGAGCCACGCCACAATGCTGCAGCGCAAATTCTGTCTGCACTTGAAGGTCTCTGAACTTCTCTGCACATCGATGGCGGCACCTGTAAGGAGAGCAGGTAACTGCAAGAGGCCCCAGACCAGGAGCACCTGGTGCTCAGACACTATTTCTGGTGCTGCTGAGCAGCTCCACGTCTGTCAGTGCTGTTCTCATCCCCAGGCCATGGGGGTGCCCGGCTGCATGGGGCAAGGACAGCATCCCTGTGCCTGGCGACTGCTGCCACCACGGCGCCACGAGGAGAAGGTCTGAGGGTGCTGGGAGGCAGCAGGCGCCGGGGCAACAACAGCACAGCAAAGCTGAGGGCTTGCTGTGTGGGCAGCAAAGAGTGACCCAGCCGTTCCCTTCGCAGATGCAGCCGGAGGAAGAGCCCCTCCATCAGCACAGCAACATGTGCGGGGGCAGCGCCAGAGGCACCGGCGCAGGGGCCAAGGGCAGGACTGGGAGGGAGCCCGAGAGAGCCGCTCTGCCACAGCCTGGCTCTGGGACCCCAGGGAGCATTTCAGCTGCCCCGTTTTGGGGAGCAGTGCCTGGATAAGGAGCGCTGCAGGAAAGCGCAGGGCAAGGAGACAAGGCTGCTTGTGTCCATACCAGAGCTTCCCAGGGCCCAGTCAGACATCTTGGAGACTTCTGAGGCCATCTTGGACAGTGCCTGGTGAATGAACACAGGAAAGGACCACGTCAGTGGGCAGAGCAGCATGGCTGCTGGCACCCACGGAGGCAAAGGGTCAGTGTCGGAAAGACAGGGCCAGCCTTGTCCACAGAGCCGAGACGCTCTGCTGCTGGTGTGAGCCACGAGGCCTGAGGAACAGTATCTGTGGCCATGGCTACGGCCCCGAGGTGGGTTAATGAGGGTCCCCACCCTCCCATCCCCACCCTCCACACTCTCCAGGTCAGCTGGGAGATGGGCTCAGGCCCCAGCAGCATTGGCTGACCCCATGAGCATGCCTGGGTCTCACCACTGCCTCCAGGGCCCAGCCAGAGCAGCCAGAGGCCCCGGCATGCCAAAGGAAGGCTGTCGGGTGCCTCTGCTGCCTGAAGCGCCCGGTTAACATGGGCCCGGAGAAGGCCTGTGCAGCACAGCAGCTCTCCAGGCCAGCCCCTGGCAAAGGCTGGCTTCTTGTGGCCAGCAGTCTGAGCCCAACAACCCCCCCAGGGAGTGCTTTCTCTGGCATTCTGCCTAGCCAACCCTCCTTCCCCAAAATGCAGGGTCACCTTCTGCCTACTGCTGATCAGGTGCCTCAGCTGAGCCACCTCCTCCTGCAGAAGCTCCAAGTCTGGGGATTCCCCGAACCACAAAGCTGGCAGATTGCTGCAGGAAGAGAAAAGCCGTTCTTGTCAGAGTGGTTCACCCCGTGGGGGGAGCGTCTGAGCTCAGCACAGAGGACAGACACATGTGCAAAGGCAGGAGGGAGGTACAGACGCCCGGCCGTTAGGAAAAGGCGTGCAGGGAGCACGAGGGCGGCCAATGCTTCCGCACAGACCCAATTGCAGCTCAGGACACGTCTCTTACCGCAGGGTCTCCAGGTGCACTAAAGACACACGTGTCAGCTCCTGAAAGGGAAGAACACTACGTTAGAGCATCCACTACCAGAGCTGCCGGGGCTTCCCAGGAGAGGCTTCCCCAGGAAGAGCTGGCAAATGCTGCCGCTTCTCTGGGTCACCCTGTAGGGAAGCGGGAGAGGCTGCTATTTATCCAGCACTGTCAGCAACGCTCCCTTGCAGGAGGTTCCTGTCCCACCAGTCACTGACCTCCACCAGTCTCTTGGCGCATGTGCTCCACACTGGCAGCAAAGTCCAGCAGTAACCACCAGCTGCAATTCACATCACAAAGAGACAGTTATTTGCCTGGGGTTGTTGGCAATGCCTGCAGTCTCCTTGTCTACTCCCTGTTGTCTTGGGGCTGGGGCAGTTGGTGGGGTAATGTGGGGTTACCACCCTCCCAGGCTTGAGGGGACTGCATGGCCGTGCTCTTCAGGTGTGCTCAGTGCCCCAGAGCTGCTCCCCGTTTCCTGGGGCACTGAGACCAGGCTGCACGGGCTAGGAGAGGCACCTCTCCACCAGTGCCCCTGCACGGCCCCTCTGGGAGCCCCCAGTTCGGGTTTGGAAATACCTACACCCTTCTCTTGCAGACTGAGCAAGCCATTTGCACCAGTGGACAAGCAGCAGCATGGCTGGAGACTCCCAGTCTTACTGGTAGTCCAAAAGCAAGTCCCAGTCACAGACATACTCAGAAAGCACTTGGGCCAGGGGAGTTTACACACACACACTGGCCAAGGAAAGCTGGCCAGCAGAAAGCTGGCACCCAGCATGTTCGCTCATGCAAACTCACCAAGAGCCACTGTGAGCAGCAGGATGACTTGCAGACACCTCTTCTTCTGCAAGGCCATCTTTTGCCTGAAAAAGAGGGAGTCCTGTGTCTGTCCATGAGCCAAGTCTTGAGCAAAGCTCATGTTGGGCTGCGACACTGCTGCCCCCTGACCTGACGCCCTGGGCAGCAGCAGCCCACTTCTTACCTACTGCTCCCTGCCACCTCCCCCATGGGCTGGGGCTCAGGCACGCTGCCCTCGCTCTCCAGGGAGCCTGTGGGGGCCCCTCGGCATCTCCTTGGGGGTGCCCTTCTCCTTGACATTTTCGTGGGGGTACCCGCTCTGCTCTGCACCCTCTGCCTCAACAGTGTGACCTGCTTGGAGCAGCAGCCGCACAGCATCTGTGGGCTCCTGCCCACACGGGGCTTGGTGGGCACCAGCTGTGACCTCACAGGGGCAGCTGTGACCTCACAGTGGGGCTCCGTGGTGCTGAGCAGGGTGGGGAGCCCCTGGGGCTGCCCAAGGCAACACGGCCGCTGCCGCCGGGCACAGAGAGATCCCTGACAGAGCAGCCAGAGCAGAGTGGGAAGGGCTGGGAAAGCTCTTCTTGCGATGGAATTATGGCGTGGGGGAGACAGCTCTAAAAATCTCTCTCAAGCCCCTTCATCCCGCTCTGCTTCTGCTACCACAGCAGGAACTTTCACCCCCCCTTAAGGTTTCCTGACTGACAGCAGGCACAAGCAGTAGGTCTGGTCTGTCTGTCGTGTCCCTCCACACCCGCTGGGTGTCCCCTGCGGAGCTGCCCACTACGGAGAGATCCTCAGTAAAACCCTGTCAGGCAGAGGACAGAGAACTCGAGAATTAATTAGAAACCTGATCTGATCCATCGTTTCACCTACAGAGCCATTTGTTTCTGAAGCAGACCCTCTTCTGTGCTACTCGTGATTTTTTAAACATTTTTTTAAATATTATTTTCTGCAGCCTGTCAGAGCTGGGAGGAGTCAGCAGGGACCCTGCCTCTGCTCCCACTCTGCACAGTTCCTGGGAGATAAGTGCCATCCCAGCAGGCTCCCCCACTCTAAGCACAGGGCACAAAGGGGTGTCCCTGATGTCCCCCCCGCACTAGGCTCCCTGGGGCTTATTTTCCGATCAGCTCCCATTTCACTGCAGCATCTTCTCCTGGGATAGGCTGTGCTCAGGCCGTTTAATTACAGTTTCCTAAATACACTCCAAGGGACCAGTAACCTTGTTAAACAGCCCAGTCACAGCTCCCTGGAGAAGTTCTCCTGTTCCAAAGGAAGAAAAAATATTTTTCACTTAAAGAGAGTCTTTATTTTACCTTCCTTAAATTTATTATACAATGGAAGTAAAACTTGCTCAGAGTTTTAGATTTTTAAAACTACTTGAAATTAATTTCATGCATACAATTGGGTTTAAATTGAAGTCGCCCGTATAATTAAATAGAACACAGAGCAGATTTAAAGTTCAATTTCTGAAATTTGGAAACTCAAATTTCAATTTTTGGAAATTTCAAATTTAAAATTCAGACATTTCAAATTTCACACACCTCAAATTCAAAATGCAAACATTTCAAAATTTGGCATTTTCAAATTCAAAATTCCAACATCCCAAACCCCACACATTTCAAGTTTAACATTTAGAAAATTCAAATTTACAGGTTGGAGTTTCCAAATTTGGAAATTTAAAGTTTCAGAAATTTCAGACATTTCAAATTCAAAACTGACCTGGGGGCTGGGGGGCCATCAGGCAAGGCGGGGCACTCGCAGACCCCGCAGGGGACACTGGGACCGGGGTTCAGGAAGGTGCAGGTGCAGCCCTCACCTCGCTGCTGGTATTGGGGGGCAGCCCCAGAGTCACGGGGAGGGCCCCTATAGTGCTGGAGAGGAAAATACAAAGAGGGTGAGGGACCCTATAGATCCCCATAATCCCCCGCAGGGGATAAGGGGGGTTTGGGGGGGCTGTACCCTGGGGTCCGCCCATGGGGGCTGGGTGGGGGGTTCCGCCTGGAGGAGGGAAGGGGCAGGGGGACACTCTCAGGATCTACAGGGACTCTATAGGGGCCCTACAGACCCACACGTGACCCTAGGAGCCCCCACCCCAGGCCGTCCAGCCCTTCTACAGCCCCTAGAGCCCTATCAGCACCCCGCTAAAGCCTCCCCACCCCTACAGACGCCCCATAGAGCACCTCCAGCCCCTCCAGAGCTCCTTATAGCCCCTCTACATCCCCCCACCCCTATAGAGCCCTCCCCCATCGTACCTGGGGCTGTCCCCATCCGTTATTGGCATCGAGTCGGCCACCAGGGGCCGCTCACACTTCGCACCAGTATGAGTCCACCAGCAGCTGGGCCCTGTCCAGGTGCCAACAGTTGTCTTTGGGGGGGCGGGAGACCCCCAAAACCGGGCTCGTCTCGGCCGCCGTCGCCTCCCCGGTGTCCCGGGTCAGAGCCGCCTCCAGTGCCGCACACAGCGCCCTGAGATTGGGCGGGGGGGGCCCTCCCTGCCCCCGGGTTCGGGGGCCCCCCCTGGGTCGGGTGATGCCCCCTCGGAGTGGGCTGCGATGGGAGGGCACCCCTGGGAGGACCCTGCGGTGTGGGGGGAGACCTCAGGATCTCTGGGGGACCCCCGTCACCGGGACACAGGCACTGGGCTCAGCCTCTTCCGCTATTACATGAGGGGGGAGAAACGAGGAGAAAAAGGGAAATTTTGGTGAGGGGATGTACAGAAAATAACGAGATAAGGGGGCAGCGGTGGCACTAATGGGGGCGCACCCCTCACCTGGGG